GGGAGCAAGAATGTTCAGGATGGCGAGCTCAGACGGAGAGGAGGGAAGACCCCCCGCCCCCAGGGATGAGCAGATTGTAAAATTCTGATTCTTTCTGCTTCCAGGAGGATCATAGAAGAAGTGGTTCTAAAGTCGGGTTGCTAGTTTAGCAAATAATCGACAAATAGTCTAGTTAAATAGGAATTTTAGCTAAATAGTAAATACTATATATTTGTATAAATATATATATATATCATTATATATATTGGCCCAAGTGTGACATACTTATACCAGAGAATTATTCACAATTTTACTGTAACAGTGTACCCTGATGTTTATCTCCTAATTGTCTTCTACAGCAAGCTTGGAATTTTTAGTCTTGGAAAATCCACTTGTGGGGAGGGCTTTCTCCAGACCTTCCTTGGCTCTTGCCACCTGAGGTGAGGTCCATGCATTTGTGAGGAGCTTTGTCCCCAGGAGATCTGCCACCCTGAGTCCTCCAGCATGAGTGCAGATGTGCGTCCACAGCTGTGCTTTGTGGACAATGTCCTTGCATGTCACTCTGACAGGCTCTTGGCAATCCTTGGGGCTGAGGTTCCAGAGACTTCCTCAGAAGTGCCCTCTTCTTCCAGCTGTTGCTTGCTCAGTTCAGGCTGAAAGAAGGAGCCTAATGGACTAGAGCTGATCATGTGGAATGATACCAGATCAGACATGTGGAGGACATAAGGGTAGACAGGAGAGCTCTCTTCGCCAATTACAGCTTTGGCATTTCCCTGAAGTGTGGCCCTGTGTCTGAGTCCTGCACGTCTGGCTGACTTTTGGCAGAGGTTGAGGCACTGAAATGTGTTCTGAGTAAAAAGAGTGGTCTCCTCTTCCACTTGGCTTGGAACAGCTCATCCCCGGATGGACTCCCAGTGGGAAGGGGATGGAGAAGGGGAGTAAGAAAGAGAGAGACTGCTAGCAAAGAAATACAGATATCCCCAGAGAGTTGTACATGATGAGCTCTCTCTCTCTCCATCCACCATCCATCCATCCATCCATCCATCCATCCATCCATCCATCCATCCATCCATCCATCCATCCACTCATCCATCCATCCATCCATCCATCCATCCATCCACTCATCCATCCATCCATCCATCCATCCACCCACCCAT